ACATAAATAAAATAAAATTGCACACTAACTTTATAGATACTCTGTATGTTTCCCAATTCCATTTGTGGGTATATAGAGAGACAGAGAAGAAGGGAGAGAATGTGAATGAATGTATACTGTTATATGCAAAAGTAATATCTCAAAGGATTCAAAGAATACTGGTTATTTCCCAAGAGCAGGTGAGTGGGTGAGTGGGTAAGAGAGAATGAATTGGACCTAGGAAGGCCAAGAGGGGTACTTTCCCTTTTACCTGATACCTTCCTGTATCATTTGAATTTTTAAATTATTAACATGTATAGCCTTTTTTAAAAAAAATATTTTAATTTTTTTTCTTTTGCCGTTTTTGGCTGGGGCTGGATTTGAACCCGTCACCTCTAGCATATGGGACCAGTGCCCTACCCTTTTGAGCCACAGGCGCTGCCCAACATGTATAGCTTTTGTAATAAAAAAGAAGATAGTTCACATAAATGTTTGAAAGATGACACCACTGTTATACCACGAGCCTCTGCATTACATCTCTCTATAAATATTTTTATCTTTCAATTTAGAATCATGAAAGGAATGGAAAATTTTGGAGTCAGATCGAGTTTCAAATTCTAGCGGTGTTACCCATGCCAGTGAATCTCTTGGATTTTTAGTCTAGTTATCTATAATACCTAGAGATAATAACGTTCACCTTGCAAGGTAACTATTTTAGTTGTAACTTATGTAAAATGTCCAAGCAAAGAGTTAAAATGGGTACTATTATTATTATTAATGCTATGTTATGAAAAACAGTGTTCCACTCAAAATTTATCCCTTTGCCTTTGATTACCAATTCATTTTTCTTCCCTAGTGATTCCTGTCTTTCATATCTGAAAAAAAATTTTTTTTGAGACAGTCTCATTATGTCGCCCTTGGTAGAGTGCCATAGTATCACAGCTCACAGCAACCTCAAACTCTTGGGCTTAAGCCTCCCAAGTAGCTGGACCTACAGGGGCGCACCATAACACCCGGCTATTTTCTTGTTGCATTTGTCATTGTTGTTTAGCTGGCCTGGGCTGCGCTCGAACCCACCAGCCTCGGTGCATGTGGCTGGTGCCAAAACCACTGTGCTACAGGTGCTGAGCTCACATCTGAAATATTAACCTCTCTGGCAGAATGGTACCAGGCATTTTTCATGTGACCACATTAATGACTATGGGAAGAATATTGGCACTAGTAACAAGCACAGAGCTGAGAACTTCAACCTGATAGTTTATATCAATAATAGTTTACACATAGTGTATAACCGAATATATGTGACAAAGGTGGATATTATATGAAATGAGCATACATGAATGCACAAATATTTAAACTATATGTTAATTTGAAATTGCTAATTAAGAAATTTGAAATTATTGGAAGTCTAAGGAACTGCAATGTAGGAAGCAATACTGCAAGTCAACTAATACATAATCTCTAAAATGAACTGTGGGAAAAATTTAAAAACCTAATCTTTTATAAAATTAGGTACTCAAATTTAGTTTGCAGCACTCATTACTGCCAAAAGTTACTCCATCATCAGGCATAGCTTATAAAACTCATTCAAAAACAATATACACTCAAGAGTTTCATCAGCTTAGAAAGACCCACCACAAAATCCCAAGATAATAAAGCCTTTCTTAACAACTCTTTTATATGTAATATCCTGATAATCTCAATGAACATTGCTAGAAACTTTACCATAGGCTTAAGAATTAGAAATGACAATAGGAAGTGAATAGGATAATTGTAACTGGACAGATAATATTATAGGTATACAGAAATAATTTAAAGTTTGGTATATAATGCAGCAAACAATTAGTTGGTTGAAGAGTTTCACTGTTGGGATTACATACACTCCTAGCAGTCCTAAAGGAATTTATTGTACAGCACTTGAATAACTAAACATTTATAAAAGAGAAAACAATTCCACTGGAGGTTTATGATAAAGTGAAAGGACTAATTGTCTTGCCTGAGTTAAAAGAAGAAAAGAGTAAAATTTGTACAGGCTCCATATGTACACCACTTGGGTCTAATGAAATAATTACATTTGAAATTGTATTGTAAGAAAATAATAGCTGGCTGGAATGAAACAAGTCATCTAATTTATTTAAAAGACACTCATTTATAAGTCTTGGGGTTCACTTACCAAATAACCCTTTAATTAAAACTACGTTAAAATTTAAGGCTAGGACTATTTACATAATAAAATCTTAAGGTTAGGACTGCTTATAATATTAATTTTTGTCTGAGTGAAAAGAATACTGAGATTGTCTTACTGGCAACAGCTCTTGGCCCTGGCAGTCGGTCATTGTTGGCGACTTCCTGTGGATACACACAGCTGTAATTCATGCTGGTTAGCAATGTGTCGATTTGAGATGTTCGGAGATCTTCTGGACTATACATGGGTAGGAATGCAACATCAATTGCGATCTCATGGTTCAGACCTGTTAGAGAAAAATCACACGTTATTAAAAGTGCAATGCGTTAGCACATAGTGCTAATGAGACCAAGTTTGTTGATTTGATCCTAACATGTGCCAAATAGCTACAGACCTAGAAAAACCTGTTTCAAAACCCGGGACTAAACTCTTATCTATGCAAACTCTTATCTGTGCAAAATTTGTGAATACATGTTATTGGTTGAAAGAGTAGACACTTTAGTGCAATGGTGATAACCAGTGTCGGAGAGAGCAATTCAAAATGTTTTTCCTACTGATGGAAGGTTGAAATTTACTTTCTACAAGACAGCCTGGTCACCTACGTGAAGACATGTAGAGTGTTTCCTTGATCATTCATGACAGTTGTCATTACAGGGTAGGAGACTCAGAGATGACAACTGGTTCCCTTATTGCTCTTTGGACTTAAGGATATCTGACTCAAGCAAGGCCAAGAATGGTAGTAACTAGGTTGCATCTGTCCTTAAATATTCAATACAGGCTTCATATACTTACCATTAGGGCTAAAAAATGTTGCAATAGAAAAAGGGTGAAGGGGGAAGATGTATGGCAGAAGGAGGGAGGGCATGACAGAGATCTCACCTAATGTGCACACTGTGAGGCAGTATAACACGCCCCCTGGGTTAGGGGCTCTTCTATAAATGGAACTTTACCCTGGAAGTAAGAATAATGTAACCTAAATATTGTACCCTTATATTAATTTGAATAAAGTTAAAAAAAAACAATGTGTATCCTGACCTTTGACTGTCATCTCTTTATTTGGGTGAATGTCTAGGTATAGAGAAAAGACTTCCTAGAGGAAGATAAGGCTTTGAGCTGAGTACTAAAAGATGCACAGCATTTAAATAAACAAAGAGGAAGGCATCTCAGGCTTGGCAGGGAGTAGTACAAACCAAATGTATAGACCAGAGTCAAGAGACCATCTTGGCTTGGCACCTGTGGCTCAAGTGGCTGAGGCGCCAGCCACATACACCTAAGGTAGCAGGTTTGAATCCAGCCCAGGCCCGCCAAACAACAATGACGGCTGCAACCAAAAAAT